GAAAAAGGCAACAACCTTTCTATGGACAGGCAACCCTGACAACGACCATTTCATCCACAAGCAGAGATAAACATTTTTTTTGGAATTGGCACTTCACCCAACCCGCCCATAATTTTTTAAGCACCGCCCGCCCTCAAAAAAACAAAAGCAAAAAATCTCAAGGCGACCCAACCCACCCGAGTGTTTTTTCGAAAATTTCCTCCCACACCCAACCAGCCCGTCACCCGTAAAAAACCTTCACCCTGACCCACCCACACCCGCGAGAACAAAATTACCCCCCCGCACCCGGTACCTAATTATTTTCCACCCGCACCCACCCATTCCCCATTGTCTCAGTCCCTTTGAACATTTGCACGCACCGTAGCAACATGACATCCTTGGACGACGACGCAAAACTTTGAAGCATCTCTGCCTGCAGAAATTCGAATCGCTCCACAAGTTTGAAATTGGGTAGTGAACCTAAGGCTTGCCACTTGCTGTGGTTAGGTTTGATCCCCGCTGTTTTAATGGGAACGAACATCCCGTTGTTTGGGCCGTGGTCCAGGTGCCACCAGTAGAGCGTGACACATTTTTTCAAGGACGACCCCAAATTTTTAGTTGCCACTAGCACGACTCCTTTTTTTGAGGACGAGAACTTTTTTTCCAGGGGCCCCAGGGTGGAGACTTTCCGTTTCCTGGGCCTCCAACCTTTGAAGTCCACAGATGGACCGCAACTGCGAAATATGTATAAGGGGGGGTGGGGGGTGGGGGGTGGGGGGTCGGGGGAAGGGTTCTTATGGGTTGTCTTGGTTTGTGGATCAGGTGACCCAGGCCTAGCGTTCACCTGCTTGTCACCCACCCATTCGGGTGACCCTGGCCTAACAACTCGCCCGTCACCCACCCAGGCTTGCTCGCCTTGACCCACCCTCATCCTACCCATGCCAGCTTATCAAGACCCACACCTGACCCAATGCCTCGTGGGTGGGGTGGGTGAGGGTGGGTGTGGGTCTGGGTACCCGTTGCTCATCTCTGTCCACAAGGTAGCCTGTCAAACGATCACCGAACCCAAAACCAAGGGCGGCCTTGGTCTCATAGACCCATCTCGACAGATTCAGGCCCTCCAAATCAAATGGATCCTTAGACTATCCCTCCAAGACAACCTCCAGTGGACACCCCTAGCCCTGAACCACATCAGGGAAATAGCCCCTTTCAAATCTCCCAAGAACATAACAGGTCTCTTCTGGATCTTCAACAAACACTGGACACTCCCCATAGACAAAAAAAAGCACACCCCCATTTCCACGCAGGAAGATAACCACGATATGGAACCTTCAAAATCCCTCTGGGCCCAGATCTTACGAAGCTGGAGGAACATATTTCCAGCAAACAGATCCGGCCCCAAAAGGAGAGACGAAGTCTTAAGGCAACCCCTCTTCGGCAACCCCTAGATCAAAACCGAGAAAGGAGCAAGCTTTTCCCTCTCCAAATCTGAGGCCAAATGGGGACATCGGGTAGAAAGAGGAGTATGGCAGATACAGCATATCTGGAACGAAGCAGCAAATGAACGGAAATCTGAGAAGGAACTCAGGCTAACCCTGAAAGGCCTACATCATCTGCAAACGAACATTAACCAGATCATAGAAAGCATCCATGCAATGGAGGCGCCTACTACGATCTGAACAGAGATGGCAACACGGAGATTGGGCCACAATAAAGGTAACGGGGGAAGTGCAACAAGTTCTCAGATTTAAAAACTATGAAAACCGGAACAACAATTGGATCTGTTGCAACATCTTTCCTCTCAAGGAACCAGGGATAACACAGAAAGCAGAGCAGAAGGCACCTTCAAAACAAGCACCCTGCAAAGAGTAAGGGTCATCGAAGGAGAAAGAAACAAGGTTTTCAAACCTCAGTCAAGTATACAAGAACTCGAAATATATATAGCGGAATGGGCGTGGAGTACCCCCATCCGTAGAGCCACTATACTCCGGCTCCACAAAATAACTGACTACACCCCCAGACTAGGTTGCAATCTTCTTTCTAAACCCATCTCAATAACCAATATCCTACAAAAAAGATGGACAAAAGAAGAACCCACTATAACAGACACCCAAATAACCCTACCCTGGTCATCAATCTTCAGCACTAAACCAGGCAGACTAGCCAGCCTACGTTGGTTAATCGCATACAGGGCAGTACAAGTTAACCACTGGCTGGCATAGAGACGCAACAAGGCAAACCGAACAGACCAAGATTCTTGGTGCAAAGTCTGCAACCAACAGAGCCGGAAACACTTAACCACTGCTTCATCGACTGCCCAAAAGCCAGAATCATATGACAGGAGATGGAAACCATATGGAAATCCTTCTCTGACAGGTCCGTCCCGATAAGCCCTACCACAATTTTCCTCGATGTAGATCAGAACCCACCCCTCAAAGGCTTCGAGTTTCTTCTGCATACTTATCAGGAAAGGAATCATCTGGGGCCTATGGAAAAGAAGGTGTGAACTAACCTTTGGCGATTGTCCTATCACACCCGAGAACCCACTCAACACAATAAAACAGACAATAGAAACGGAACTACAAGTTCTCTGGACCAAAGCCCTAAAACAAATAAACAGTGCCCCCGACAAAAGAACTGAATGATCCATAAATTCTCAACGGCAAAACTAGGATCAGGCCTCTTAGGAGAAATAAAAAACGACTACTTAGTCCTCAAAAACTTGCTAACACTATCACCAGCGCAGACCACAGTTTCATCTCACCCTTCACCAACACTCTCCATCCCCCATCACAGTCAAACATACCCATTGATTCTAACACCCTCATTACACATCACACCGTCTAACCCAGCAACTCTCTACCACAGCCCCGACTCCATCTCTCTCTCAACCTCTCTTCCCCGATAAAAAGAGGAACAGACGGCCCTACATGCCCTCCAGCAACCCCCACCCCTCCACCTCCCACCCAACCGAAAAATTCTGCCAACCCCAATAGGATATCCCCCACCTACTATGCTCCCCATTACTCCTTTGTTTTTTTTTTTTTTTTTTTTTTTTTTGAAAGAACAACCCGATCGGATGCGAGGTATGCTGATAAGAGCAGACACATCTAGCACCGTTGGGGAGGCTCCATCTATTGGTGGGGAGCAGCACCTGCTGGAAACCGGGTCCAGCGTCCCTTTGATACATCGTGCAATACAAAGAATGCTGCTTGCTGTTCCCCGGGGCTGTGGCCAATTCAAACTCAGCTTGGGGCTCCGACATCCCATGGGGCTGCTAGTGTCACCCCTCCCTTCTTAGGAGCAACCCGTATCTAATGACCCAGCCCTATCTAAGCAGCCCCCTTGTTTGGCTAAATGTGTGTCTGTCCATTTGCCCCTATGAGTCAATAGGCGGATTCAAGGAATTTGCATACAATTTGCATACAATTTGCATACAATTTGCATACAATTTGTACTTGTTTCTCTTCCCCTGTGCTTCACTGGCCTACACTCAGACATCCCTGGCCGGCAAATTAGGTGTAGGTCAAAGTAGCAGGGGCAGAGGGGACGGTGCCAGGGAGTTGGGAATGGGGAGACAAAGGGGGAGGGGGAAGAAGGAAAAGGAGAAAGATAATGTTAGCTACCGTTGCTGGGGGCAGGAAATGATGGTGAGGTAGGAGGAGCAAGCGGGGCTGACAGTGGGGGTGCAGGTGGCGGCTGGGTAAGGTCGCGGTCGGCGGCGAGGTGGTCAGGGTGTCGGGCACAGTCCTCTGGAGAGACAAGAACAAAGTTAGTAGGTTGATACACCACCCGGAAATGGTGCGTCGGCAGTCTTTCCCATTGCCTCTCTGTCGACAGCCACGGCTGCCAGTTGAGGGAGTGGGTATTATCGAGACTACACAGTCTCCCATTGTTGACATCCTTCCCCCAACACTTATTCCCTCCCCTATAAGTACATAAGGGATGAGGGCTTAGGGTTAAAAAAAAGGGGAACAGACAGGCCTACATGCCCTCCAGCACCCCCCACCCCCCCACCTCCCACCCCCCCCAAAAACTCTGCCACCCCTCTTGGCTATCCCGCACCTACTAGCACCCCCGACACTATTCCCCCCCCAACAAGTACATAAGAGATGAGGGTGTAGGGTTTAGCATTAGAGGAAAAAGCAACTTGTTAAAGTTAGAAGCCTAGAATTCAGTCTAAGGCTAAAGAGCACTACAGTACATAGAAAGGTAAGGCTAGGGTCATAGATAAGGGCGCCTATGAAGGTCGAACTAGCTCTACGAGCAATCCGCACTGATCCGACAGCCATACAGCTGAGAGGAAAAGCTAAAGTCAGCTCATATAGGCAGGCCTTCAGCAACTACAAGATAGGTCCATAAGTCCGAGAGGCCTTCCAAGCCCAAGAGTATGTCAAGCAGGGTAACTCAGGCAGGGGTGAAAGGTGGTACATCCTTCCTTGGGAAGCAATCAATGCCATCTTTCGGACCTTCCTACTGTAAGGGGGAGGAGCGTGTGTGAGTACCCATTGTAATCATTTCTGACTTGCTGGTGGAATAGGAACCGGACTGATGCT